AAATCAGGGTGAAAATTGGACATTTGCTGTTGTGCATTTATAATGCTAAAAACAACCAGATAAAAACTGTATTCTTCTTCTACCCTTGGTCTGAATTACAACCTTACCAATTACACTCAAAATCAAGATCCCAGTAAAGTTTCGGCAGCAAAATCAATGTCAGCAGAGGCTAAGTTGTGTTCTGCCTTGTGCTCACAACTGTCAGACGATTGCTGAAATTACTGATGGTTGTAACTTTATTGCAAGTAACAGTACAAGAAAGCAGTTTGATGGCAACAAGCAGTTGCCATTTGAAAATATTTCGGGCAAGAAAGGAACGATTTTTTTGCTTGGGGGAGTGGGCAGGATCCAGTCTTACGAGACACCCGAGCCTCAGACGCCCGTGGTTTCTGCCACAGCTTGAATCAACACATTGCAGGAAGAGTCAACCAAGCCCTTGCGGGGATCCACTGAGATCCGATGTTGAGCATCGCTCCTGCCCTTGGCCCCGTGGGTGGTTTGCATGAGCTGCGACAGTGGGCTGTCCCAACAGTGCCCGGAGCCAAGACAGCAGCTGCTCCCAGCACTGTCTCTTCTCTGTGGCCCTTGCTGACAGCACAAGCAATGCCCTCAGGATGAGGAATGCAGCCATCTTCGCTTTTCAGCGAGGAATCCAGATCGGTACAAGCCAAAAGGGCTACAGCATCAGTATTGTCAGAGCACTTTGAAATGGCTGTTGTGTCACTTAGAGTTGGGATGCTTTTTTCACTTCTTTCCATTCAAGGGTGGTTTGGATAATCCAGCTCTTATCTGGCACTTTCAGACAAGCAGACAAGATCATCATGCAGTTATCCCAGGTTTACTGTACCTTATCGGGTGAAAGCATTTTTGCAACTACAGTAAAAATACATATTTCTGATATTTAGCCTTATCCTCGAATGGCAAAGAAAACATTTCAAGAGCTGTAAAATATTTCAGCTCCTATTTCCATGGGAATCCAATTAAGAAAATCAAATAGCCAACATATTTGGAGTACACAGAGAATGAGGAAAATGTCAATACAGCCTGAAGATAATCCAAGTGTCACTGAAATTAATATCATCTACTTTCCTTGCAGTCCCCGAGGCCACTAGACAAAACTTCATTCTGTTATTGTTGTATGCTGTTCCTGAATCATGGGAGAATAATTGCCTCTTTCCCACCTCAAAAATGTCCTTAAACAAACACTAGTGATAACTGGACCAAGATGTTCCTACAGCTGGTGAAAAAGCTCTGAGATCCTGAACAAAACTTATCTGGTCTTTCCAAGGCACCATTTTTGAATGCGGAAGGCCATGTCCTCAAAGTCACTTGGGTTTTTGGAGAACCAAAAAGCCATTCTCATCAAGCTACTGAAAAAATTAATTTCATTTAGGTTCTTTGTTCATTGTTAAGAAAATCCCTTCATTTGTATCTAAACATGCCTGGCATTTATTTCTCTTCCCTCCACTGAATATAGTGCAAAGAAGGGCTTTGAGGAACAGTGGACGGATTGGCATATACTTCTAGACTTAAACCCATAAGTTTCTCCTGTTCTAATTGAGTACGTGGCTCAGCCACACTGGCCATAGTAATGTGTGAAGTGGTGCTGTAATGTATGGATGTTGCTAACACAATGCATGGGGAAGAAGGGGAGCTACAGTAGATTGGAAAGCATGTCCTGATACTAAACTAGGAGGAAGAAAATGACTTGGGGTGCATATTGGGATGGTACAGACAAATTTGGAGGGGAAGAAGAGAATAATAAGTTTTTTGCCTAAGGAGGAGCCTGGTACCTGGGGAATGTTGCATGCATAAGCAATGAAACTGAAATTTGTGAGGAAATAAAATATGGGCACCTAAACATTCCCTTTCTTGCTCCAGCTTCACTTCTAAACAGATTTATTTTCCAGTAACTGATTTAATCAAGAGAAACTCTTCCTCCCACTTCTTTTTCCCACTACCTCTGGACTTCTGTACCTTTCTGTACTTCAGAACTCCACTGTCTTTTTCTGTTCTGAGAATAATTTTGTTTTCCTACATGTATTGCATCCCCTCTGTCTTCTCCCCTCCAGCATCTGAATTCTGATATTCCACAGGTGACTGAAAAAACACGTTAATCTCTCTTCCTTTCTGTGACCGACATCCCTGCCTTTACACATTTTCTATAGTGAAGTTTGTAGCACAAAACTGACACCAGTCATTGAGCATAAGAAAGATGGAGCAGTGTTTTGTTGTGTGAGCCAAGAAAGGATTCCAAAAATGTTTTTTATCCAAGTTCAGATCTCTGGCAGGCAGTGAGGTGCAGCTCCATCTTGAAAGCCTTCTAAGGCTCATGGCTAATGTATTTACAGGAATCTCATCTGAAGGTGATCATGCAAGGAAGACTTATTCTAATGAGCTTTTTATATGTGTAGCCTTGTGGAGCTGACATTACCTAAGACATGGCTTTATCAAGCAGCAAAGAGACATAGACTGCTGCAGTATCAGATGTAGGGACATTTCAAGGAGATTGGTGTATGCTTTATAAAACTGAAGGGAAATTTCCTTGCCAGAATACAAAATATATCTCTCTCTCCTTACCTTTATTTCACATTTCTTACTAAATCTTATGTTATAAACAAGACTGAGAGGTAGTTTTTTACAAGCTGCAAAAGTTGGGACTATAAATATGATCATTAAAAATACAGCTCAATATATTGTATAGATAAGCTGGGAATAGACTTTTCAAAATGTTTTCGATACAAAGCTAAATAAGAGAAGATGCAGCCACCATGTGAATAGTAAGTTAGGCGAGGACTGCTCATGACATGAAGCTATGGTGATGGGTGTCCCATTACTAGGAGTGCATATCGTATCAGCTGTGCTTATGGAGTCAAAGCGGGCGTTCAGTTTCCAAATAGTGCCTGCTGAATTTGTACCTGGCTGAGGAGCAATGGTTAGATCTCCTGAGGAACATTGCTTGGCACTGATGTAGAGGAGTTGTTTTGTCTGCATATTGACTTTGGTCCCTATAAAGGCATGAAATGCATGTCTAAAGCCAGATGAATGGTTTGCAAAATGTAGCAGCTCATGTAATACACAAAGCAGTTGGCTTGACTAAAAAGACAACTACTTTCTTTTAAAACAGTCAGAGCTAGGTGGAAAATCGTTGACTCATCCTACAAGAACTTTCAAGGTGTCATCCCATCCTGCTCTTCCATCCTGAGGGTAAAGTAAGACCTTCAGAGGGTAAATCCTCCCACAATCCCTGACTGGACTGATGCCTTGCCTGAGGCATGTACATCTGCATGCCCTGGGGAGCCAGCTCAAAGCAGAGCCTGAAGGCCAACCTGGTGGCTGTTCACTCCACTTTGCCTTACATATGATGCTTAGAGGCTAATTAGCCAAACTTCACCAGGTCAACAGGCAGTTCCCACCACTGGTATTTCAGAAGCAGGTCCTCTGTCCACTGAGGCACTTGGAGCAAGTCCCCTCCTAATGAACTTCTAGCAGCTCCTTTTCCAGCTGATCTATGTTGGGTAAAACCCCAGGTGCTCACTGAAACAGAGATGTGAGCTGGGGTCTGCCACATCTCTGACAAGACTCCAGGTGGTTGAAGAGTTGACCGTTTGCCCTAGCTGACCTTTATAACCTGACCAGCCTGGTGTGGTGGCCTGGTCCCTGCAATGTGGGCTTTGGAGGCTTCTGGATGGCTCAGCTTGGATGTGAACCTGAGCTTATACCACTCCCTTAGTACTCTGCTCTGGGGGACACGTGGGGCTGGGATTCTCCCGCTCTCCATTCTCCTGGCACAAGAAAGCTTTCCTTGTGATAAGAAGGCTTTTCTGGCTGATTGCTGAGTGCAGGGGGAGGCAGGGCTGAGGGATCGGGGCTGGAGAAGCACTTGCAAATCCATTTTATTGCTGTTTCAGTTTTCTCGGTTAAAAGTTTTTTTCTCAGGGAAAGTTTCATGTTTGACATTTTCTGAAAAATACCCCATCAGTTTCATGACTAAATGATATTTTTGCAGTAATTAGGTAACCTAGCTCATATATTACAGCAATGCAACATTCCTTACCAGGAAAGGATTAACTTTATACATAAAAATCTGTTTATAGGCCAAGCCTTGCCTTCCACTTATGTAAATTCACCTAGCAAACTGTTTTTCCCTTTGTCTTGCCTCTCTTTCACCTCAAAAATTTCTCTTCTTGTCTGTAGAAATTATATGCAAACCAAGTCTGTGAACTCTTCTGGAAAAAAAACTGTCTTTTCTCCCCTTGTCTATACAGAGCCTGGCACAATGAGAACCTGATCCCTGAACAGCATTTTGAAGTGGTGTGTGCTCTGACCGTTTGAATACTTGAATTCTGTTTATTAGTCATAAAGGAGAGAGGTTGTGGGATACAAGTAGTGGAGTATTTTATCTCTAAACTAGCCAAATTGGTATTCTGCAAGAGCATAGAGATCTACACCCTGGCAAGGAGAACATATTCTAGCAGACTCTGGTGAACAAAGGACTAATGCAAACCTGAGTCTGTTTGGAGCACATATGCATTTAGCAGCAGTTACTACAGCAACTAATTCATAACTTTTTCAGATTAAAAAAGAAATTATTGCACAAGTCTTCTGTACCTGCTTGGGAGGAAAATAAAACTCTGAAATTTGACCTCCCTTAATAATTTCTCTGACAAGGACTTAACTTCTCTGCCTGTTTGGGGAAGGACAAGGTGTGCATGACTAGCAAGATGTTAGGATGGGGCTGAATACAAAACCAGGGCTATTTTTTTTACTTCTAGATCTAGTAACTCAGGCCTTTAGAAAGCAGCTGAATTACACCAACGATTCCTGGATTAGGTTGAGGACAGAAGACAAATACCAGCGTCAGTTCAAATTTCAGCTTTATCCCTGGGTTCGATCTGACCAAAAGAGTACTCCTACTCACTTGTATCTGGCATTTGTTTCTACAGCTCAGCAGATGAACATTTTCATTGACAACATAAGTACAGTCACAACTCATTTACCTGTGAGGTCGTCGTTGGGCCAGGAGCCGAGCTGGCAGGCTTTGCATGTGTATTCATCAAATACATACTCATTCTCTTTACAAGGAGTGCAGGTCCAACAGCAACTCACTTCTCCTTTACGGATCACCTGAAACAAAAATTGACATTTGATTTAGCAGCATAAACGTACCTTCATGCTGCCCCAGTTACTAATTTATTTTTTTAATCTCTTTTTTTAATAGAGGTTTTTTTAAAATTTTATTTTAAAGGGAGTTCCTTTTCATGATGTGTTTCCTTATACGAAATATGACACAAGTTGTCAGTTCTCCCATCATGTATGCACCAGAAGAAAGAAACTGTCAACCCCACAGATGTATAAGTGGAGATACAGAATGATGATAAGATGTTTTTTTGCTTCTTAGAATTTGCAAAACTCAAAATTTCATAGATGGCAATGTGTCTATGGAAGTCAGTCCATGATACTCAAGGCATATAATTCACTCCATTGTGGGTCCATACAGAAAATCATGTCAACAGCGTTATTTCCTTAACGGTTTATTACCCAAAGATTTTTGGGTGTTTATTTTTCATCAAATTGTGAATGATTTGTTAAAATTGATTTTTTCCAGACATCAGACTGAACATGCCTTTTCCAAAATTATTTGATTACTGAATTTCTAATAAACTTTTAAGAGTGAGAATGTTATCTTTATCCATTTTAACATCTGACCTGAATTCTCATTTTAAAAATGACTGCTGAACATTAATGCACGCTCATGATTGAGATGCAAATTTTTCAAGATCCGTATTTATCATCTCTGGGCACTGAAAACATCTGTGCTTCTTGTCAATATGTCTTTGTTTTGAAATAAAGTATTCCCAGTTTCTCTGCTCTTCCCCAATAATTTATAAATGAATACTCCCAATTATAGCATAAGAAGTAGGTTGACTTATGTGTCTTTCGCAGTGATGAATTTAAAAGGTGGCTTCAAAACCAGATGCACTTTTTATTAGACAATTGCACTTTTGCACAATTAGACTTTTTATTGCACTTTTAATAGGCAAAATGTAAAGAAGTGTAGTCAAAAAGAACTGGATTGCTCTTTGCAATGGTGCCATTAAAAAAGTGTAAATTTGATCATTTTAATCAGTAACATGGGAATTTGAAAACTTCAATTTTTGTTTTTTTGTTTTTAAAACTGTGGAGTATGAAAAGATAAAAAGCCACACCTCAATAGCTAAACTGGCAGAAAGGCCATGGGAGCATAAATGATTTGCTCTGCAAGTGTTGAGACTAGATCTACTTGCAAAACAGAATATCTGTCTTCCTCAAGAATTCACATCTTGGGATTTCTTTAATTTTGAAAAGTTGAAGAAATGACAAAATTTCTTGTGTCTGGGAAAATCAGTTTTTAGAAAGCTTGTATTAATTTTTAGACACATATTTTAGTAAATTTGATGCATTATAAAAATCCCTAATTTTACAATGTGTAAAATACTCAAGAAAATGAAATGGTAAAATGGAAACCTTAGGTTATTATCAAAACACCTAAACTTTTATCAAAACAAATAACTTAGACTTTTCTGTTGAACTTTTCACCAAATTAACATCTTCTATAAAATATTTGGAATTTAACAAATCTGCCAGAAAACTGGTACGCTGATCATTTCTTACCCAGCACTAACTGGGGATTAATCCAGAGAAGGATTGTGTATCCTTCTCTAGGAATCAAAATAATTGTTCTCCACTACTCAAAATCAGGTCAGACGTTTTTGAATTAAATTGCTTAGTCAGCTATTTCTTCATACTTTTATTCTTCATTTCTTGAACAATTGTTTGTTGTAACACTCAACTCTAAAACAATTTTCTCTGTCCCTTTTAAAAAATAATTCTCTTTAAAACAAAAATTATTTTCCCTTCCCCTTGTCATCTGGGCAATCCTTTGAACCTGTATTTATTTAAATAATCATATGTCTGCACTATTTCAAATGCTTCATATGAGCTGGGTTGTGTTTGGATTTTATTAGCTCCTTCAGATGGATGTTGCTGAGTATCAGATATCATTAAATTGAATGTTTCAAATTCCTGCATAATAATTCAGTACCACAGAATTCTGCAGGAAATAATATATTATTTCTGTTGACTATAAAGAAAGTTCATAAATCTGATATAACTATATATGCCTACACTTAAGACATATACTTTTGGTCTGATGAAACTCACTCACTGACTCTGCCAAAGGCTGGTTAGTGAGTAAAACATGGTGACTGTCTCCTAAAACTCTGGAAAACTCGGACTGAAGAGATTCACTTCGTGTTGCAGAGCATGGTCAACCACCCATCAGCCCCTCACTAGAGCTGCTTCCCGGTTTTGCCAGCCTGCCATGTTAACACAGGAGAAAAGTGATCCAGCTTCCAGTAAGTCATGTCAGAAATTGCAGCTGCTTTTTTTTCAGTCTGAGCCAATCTGTTGTCCGTGCCCATCCCCTCAGTCCACAGGCTTTTGTATAAACGACAGCAAGGGAAGCTTAGGACTTGCAGGATTTTAACTGTCCTGCAGTGAGTCTCATGGAATGCTGAAAGATAGTAGAGTACATTAATATATGACAGATCCATCTACCCTCCTTAATTACTGCAACATGGAAAAGGAGGAAGGAAAAATCAGAAACCTGGGAAAAAAAGCAGCAGTAAAACAGGCATGATTAAAAAAAAAATTACCTACATTTCCTGAGGTTCTAAGTAGTGGTAGTTATCAGTGTTCTCTAGTGATACCACAGACTTAAGTTCTGAGTAATGCTCCAGTTTAGGTGCCTATGTCTAGCACTGAAATGTTAGCAATTATTATTTATAATTTACCTGCAATTGTACTGACACATCCCAGTCAGGGGTTTGCACTCCACTGAATCAGATGCTGTAAAAATATGCAGCAAAAAAACCCCAAACAATACCTGTTCTAAAGCATTTGGAATACAACAAAGTCATCAGTTCACAGATATAGGACTACAAGAAAATGGCAACTTATGAAAATAGTGAGATGACTACAATATTAGTAAGAATTAAACACATAATTCTGCACATTTTAATTAAGCTGTGGAATACTGTATCCATGTAAGAGTCAAGAAAAACTTGTTTTCAAATTTCAAGGCTATGCATTCTACACAACTGAAATAAATGGAGAAAATATTTACCTTTATCTGGCCTTTTTCGCAGGGTTCACTGCACACAGATCTGATAATAATATTTTTCTCTGACCATATTTCATCATCGTCCATTTTCAGCTCACCATTGTCCCAGCTGCCAACATTGATATAGTCAAAGTAGTCCTTCCCCATTTTCTTAAAATTCATGATTTCATATCTTTGGAAACACAAGGGAGAGACATAGCTGAGTTGAGGAGAACATCCATGATTTCATATCTTTGGAAACACAAGGGGGAGACATAGCTGAGTTGAGGAGAAGATTGTGAAATATTTCAAATTAAAGGAACACCATACAGTCAAAATCAAGCTTGTTGAAATAAAGAAGGCAAAATTTCAAGCATTATGCTTGCCCTTGATTCTCTGCAAATTATTTTTATGATCTTCTAATCTTTCTTTTCCTTTGTATTTTAATTTGTTTTCTTCTATCAGTATGAAAGTTCCCTTAATACTTTGGGGTAAAGTGACTGATCTGAGAATGGCTGTATTTATTTAAGGAAAACAATGAAATGAGCTAGAGAGGATTCATCGTGTGTAACTTTCAGCACTGAAGGCAACTGCACAGGAAGCCCTAGCTGTCCTAGGCTCCCTCTACAGCAGATGCAGAGAAATCAACCTATAATGGCAATTCCCAATGCTAAGTGCTCCTGAATGTCTGCAGGTGCTTATTTCCCTCCTGAGAGAGGAAACCTGAAGACAGGTAAGCTCCTAAGTGAGGTAGAAGCAACCTAGGCCTGTGGGATCTAAAGAAACTTCTCGTGCTTTAAGACTGCAAGATGCGATTTGGTGTGGCACCCAGAGAAGAATCAGGCATCGTTCTTCAGGCACAGACTCCAGGTCTCTGGGATTTGCTGGAGGCTTCAGGGAGATCTTCTTGTCAAGAGGCAACTCATAGTCCAAGTATTTGAAGAATGAAGTTGAAAATTGCCTTTTTTTTTTTTTCTTTTTCTTCTGCGGTATTGCGGCAAAATGCTATTCTCTGCCATCCGTACAACCCGCTTCTTTTTTTTGGTGTGGCACCCAGAGAAGAATCAGGCATCGTTCTTCAGGCACAGACTCCAGGTCTCTGGGATTTGCTGGAGGCTTCAGGGAGATCTTCTTGTCAAGAGGCAACTCATAGTCCAAGTATTTGAAGAATGAAGTTGAAAATTGCCTTTTTCTTTTTCTTCTGCGGTATTGCAGCAAAATGCTATTCTCTGCCATCCATACAACCCTCTTCTTTTTCATGTAATTCCTCAGTGATCAGAACAGATTTACTTCCTTGCGCGGTATGGCATGGAAGAGAAAGAGTATTCATGCCTCAGTCCTAGGCTGCTTTTGTGTTAGATCATCTCATTATCTGGGAACAGAAGTGTTGAGAGCAGAGCTAGAGCTGACCGGAGTTTTGAAGTTCATGTTCCTCTTCCTCCTACTTTCTTTTTAGCTCTCACAGAGTCTTACAGAAAGTCTGCGGAGCAGTCTGGGACTCACTAGTCTCCTGCTGTCATGTTGAACACCAGGCCATCTTTCTGCCTTACAGGCCAGTTCTTTTAGCACTTACTTGTAAGGCATGCTTGGGAAGTTGGGCAACTCCTGAAGTGATGACATCGTGCTTTTCTTTACCTCATCTTTAGTGGATTTTGCAGTAATCTGACTAAGTAACATGAAATTCACTGATGAAAAATAAGCAAATGATATAGACTGAGAAGATTAACACAATCATAGGTTTAGAAACCTACCTGGCTCATAAATGAGGGGATAACTTTTTCCTAGCAGCAGGCGCAAAATTAGTCCCCAAGGCAAAGCATATGGGCAGGGTTGGATAAAGAGTGATATTGTCAAAGTATAATTTGTGAAGTCCAATGTGCAGATAAGTAAATCCAAGGCACAGATAAGTAAAAGAACCAGCTCATTAAATCAGTCTCTTAACTAAGATACCCAAGTATCTCTCAAGTTTTGAGGAAACACTTTTAAGACAGACAACCAGTAGCCATACCATATTTAACATTAATATTTTTCCCATGCTGACATAAAAAATTTTCAGTAAAACTATTCTATAATATTCTCCATCCATGGATCTCAGGATGCTTTGCATTAGGGAACAAAATCTAACTATCTCAGTGGGGAAACTATGGCAGGGATTCAATGCCAAAATCAGACATGGGTCAGGATCAGGACCGCAAGCAAACTGAAAGAAAATGAAAGTGGAACCTGACTGAATGGGCAATATGATATTACCCATATCATATGATTCTGGAGTCTTTCCAAAAGAAGAAGAAATGAGCAATGACACCGCTAGGAAGAAAAATTTATGATACTCCTGGATTTTGGAAAATTTTACTTTCCATCCTGTATAAAGAAGGAAATGTCCACAGCTTTAAGAATGACCTCATCAAAGTTGAAGATGTGAATGCCAGACTGACACAAATGAATTGAATCCAGATAACACACACACAAACCCAAATAAACAGGCTTTTACACATAGTTATAAACCAAGTTTGGGGTTTTTTTCGGAGCTTCACAGCCATAGTAACAGTCTGTTCAAAGATTTAACCCACTAACCAGAAAGTTAGCCCAGAAGCCACTGTGGAGTCTTTATTCAGCATTGTCGGGACATTGTAACACTCCTCTGAGTACTGCTTTGTTAAAGCTGTCAATTCAGAGTTTCATGGGCAGATGAACAAAAGTACTGCTGATGCTTAACAGGCAACAGGACCAAAACCACTTATCCTTCCAGTAGTAGTTCCACGCATATATCCCAAGGGGAATACTGGAAAGAAACCTGACAAATTAAATAAAATATTGTCTCAATATGTTGTGTCTCTCTTCTCCGTGGAGAACAGCATTGGTGGACTGATAGTAATAGCCAGGCTTAGTATAGTGGAGGTTCATGAGTCACTGGTTCCCTGGAGCTTCCTTGAGATACCACAGGGACAGTTTGTCACTTTAGGATAGGAGAGACCAGATGGTGCAATAGCACATTTCCAGCAATGCCCTAATCACAGTGCAAAACACTTGTTTCAAAACAGAAGTGTCATGAAGTTGCTGAGAATCCATATTCTGTTGGCATCGCAACCAAAACTTCAGCATCTTGTTTTTCTTGCCTTTTCAATTTCTTATTTGGAGTTTCAATGGTATTTACAGATAATTGTTATCTTCCTGAGAAATCATGGCTGTTCCTTCCATACTCATTGGGTTTTTTTTCATGTCTTCTGTCTCATCTATAACAAGCCCTCCACTACACTATCTGCTTAAAGCTCAACATACACACAAAGGACTTTGGAATAGGGCCAGGATTCAAAGCATCTTGTGGGATTAATCTTCTGTTGTATAATATCAAAACCCTTTTGCTATATCTCAAAATCCTGAGCTATCTAGGCCAGAAAGGCTTTTTATGTTCTGATTTCCTGCTTAACAGCATCACCACAGTACAGCTGTGAGGATTTAAATTTCTGTTTTACAAAGTGAAGCTGCAAGTGAACAGAGGAGAAGAGTTGTTCCAGTATGACTGCACCATCTCCCAGCTGTTGCAAATAATGTTTGACAGTGCTTAAAAGCCTATAAACTACTCAAAACCTGGGTGTTAGAGATGGAGCTTCCTATAAAGCATTCTTAGTCATGAAGAAGTAAATTTTGACTCAATGTTGGTTGATTTAAGCACATAGACTGGATTTGATGACGTGACTATTGTAGCAGAAGAGGAACAAAGAACAAAGATATATGGTAGGCCACATATCATTTATTCATGGCAGTCTTCAGTCTTTCTGCAAGAAATGAAGGAAACAGATAGGAATAAGGTAGGATGCTGTCCACTGCATCTGAGTACCATTAAAACCAAATAGGAATCCTTTAAGAGAAGTCTGGGACAAGTCTTTTAAAAAGAATTTGGTCAGAAAAATCCAGACTGAGCACTTTTCTTCAGAATTCAGCTATTTGTAAAAATAGAAATATTTAGCAGAAGACAGTCTTGCTCACCAAAAACAATGCTGAAAATAAATTTCCATCTGAAATTTTCCTGGGTTTCTGCCAGTTTGTGTTTGAGTTCTCCTACCAGCTCACAGTGTGCTTCCTTAAAGTCTGCAGAGTTTGAAAATTTGTGTCTCCAAAGACACAAACAGACTGCTTTGTAGGTGTTTGTCCTGCTCTCTTTTGGGGGGAATGCTACCTTGAAAGGATTTCAAATAAAAAGAAAAAAAAAAACAGTTCTGAAATCGCAGAAATTTTTGGAAATGTTAAAATATTCTGACCAATGAATTTACCTTTTCCTACCAATCTCTACTTGGAATTTAATCCTTTCAGTTCACATTATTGGGAAAAGACAAAATTTAAATGAACTTGCAGGATGAACAATTTTCCCTCTAGTCATCTGTTTATATGGTCTCATCACAAAGATGTTTAAAAACTTCCCAATAATGTAGACAGAAAGGGCTGCCTCAATTGAAATGGAGAAAAAGCAGTGAATAAGGCAGGAATCTACCCACTGAAATATAGGGAAAAAATATACTCTGAAAGCTATCACACTTGTTGTTCATCTTTTGAGAGTTCAGTAGGCAGAAACCCAGAAAAAAACCTCATTACTCTTTTTAATGTGCATTTATATGGATACTACATATATGTCATAGAAAAAGAAAAACTTGTCTTATATTTCATAGATGTATGTATATACTGATATGTAAGTTATCAGCAAAAGATGCTTTGTTTAAATTCAAAAGCTTTGTTTAAATCCATTTGGCTTATAGCAGCATAGTATGAATTAATAGCTTAGTCTGTTATGCAAGTGGAAAGGCTTTATTTGGAAGATATGAAAGCAGATTTTTAATAATTCTGATGGATAAGGAATCCCAGACAAATCAATACAATATTTCTGATATTGTTTTACTTTTCTTAATAAAAGAACTGCTATGTTTGCTTATCACTCAATCAAACACATACATTTAAACACCCAAAAAGAGAGAGCGCAATGCTATGATGGCCATCATGGTCTGTGAACATAAAGTTGAAGATCTGATGGTTTGTAGTGAGAAGTAATACCTTTAAATGGTACAAATGAAAATGCAAATTTATGCAGGAAGATTGTATGCTTGAAAGAGTTATTTTGGAAAAAAAATCAGAGGAAGTCAGGAAATATGAAAATAAAAGTATGAGGTCTTAGATCTGATGTCAAGTTTGCATGCATCTACTATGTACAGTTAACATGTCTGGTTATAGTTTGACAAATGGGAACATTACCTTCCTGGCGAGTCACCATTCTCATCAAACAAGATCATGTCCCCAGAGACCCCTGTAAAGTTAGTCTTCATGAGGGATTCCAGGAGCTTCCGACCATCTATGGGCTTCATGGCGTCACAGAGGCCCACGTAGCCTGGGCACAGTGACATCTGCATGTTGTGGAGGCCGTACGCCATTGAGTATATTGCATTGATTACAAAGCCCATCTTGGAGTCCTGAACGTGCTGCGTCCTCAGAGTCATCTGACCTGCCAGGGAACAGCACAAAGTGGGTGGTTAGTGCATGGAGCTGCAATGCGATCGGCCCTTCAGACATCTGTTGGTGGGTTGGTTATTAATGGTGGAAGAAGTCTTTTTAGCTGTCTTAAACAGCTCATAGCAGATGATCTTACTGGTACACACACTGACTATGTTAAAAAAGAAAGAAAGGTGTGAAGGAAGAGGTTCTCCTTAAATATTTTACTAACCAGCTGATGTCTTTCTCTGTGCAGCTCCACAACTCATGTATGTTGTTTTTTCAACCCCTTCTCTTCCATCTGTTTTTTTAAAGCATGCATCTTGAACTTTATAATATAATGTTTTGGGAATCCAGGAACTTCTCCCTGCCTGCAGAAATCTCTCCAAGTCCTCAGAAATCTTTTGTTGAGGTGTAAATGCTTATATGGGGTCTATTAAGTGTAAATGCACAACTCCTTCCGTGTACCAAAAGTTCCTGCACTAATAACTCTCCTACTTCTATGTCTCTTGCTCCTCTCTATTTATGAAGTGAGGATAATGATGCAATGCAGATGAATGCATTAAAATGTCTGTGAAGGGTTTGATGACGTGGATTAAGCAATGACTCTCTTTAGGCAGAATTGGTTAATCTTACTTTGTTTGGCTTTTAAAATAAAATGCCTGGATTTCTATTTTCTATTTAAGCTTCTGTGAAATGCACAATAAAAATTTGTTCAGCAACACCCTGAAGGCCTTCTTTTTTTATAACCCAGTGTTATAATGACACAGAATCACTCTGTTGGCAGCACCAGTCCAGCTGAGGAAGAGTAGTCTGGAGGTTTTCTGCCTCATATGTCATCAGCAAAGCTGCCAGCTGTACTCCAGCTACCAGATCTTTAATACTGGGGAAGTGAGAAGAGTCAGAGACAAAGCAACTGCATCAATGGTACTGGGAATTTGTCAGGCACCTGGAAAGATTTGACTCTGGAGGGAGGACAAACAAAGAGCTCTACTAGAACACTTGCTCTCCTTTTATCAGTCGAGCTGCAATCCCTAGGAGCTAGAGAGTCCTGTGTGTGGGCAGCCAGAAGCAAAGGGAATGCAAATAACCCTCTCTGTCCACTCTATGGAGTCTGCCTCCCATAGGGGCATCGGCAAGCAACAGGGATGAAGCTTACACCTGCCTGTCTTAGCTGCAGGGGCAGCACAATGTGAAAAGTAATTATTGCCACAAAAAGTCTGATGTACAGACAATTTTATTCTTGAAAGAAATGAAGACTAATATATGAATCTGAGGGTGGCACTCATCTAGTTTAACAATATCCATCCAGAAGTCAAGAATCTGATCTGATGTCTAGGCACCTTTTGCGGAGGTGAGTAAGAATCTCCAGCTGGTGATTGATCCCATCATAAAATAGGTGCACACCTTTTCAGTGGGGAACAAGAACATCACCGTGCAGTTCTAGTCACTAAAACATTTTAGAGCACTGAAAACATCAGTAAGGGTAGCAAAGATACGTAGTTTGAACTGAAAATCATTGTGTAGAGGTCAGTAAGTGAAAGAGAAAATCCCTTTTCCCCCTCTGTTTTGTGCAGGAGCTGGCACTCCCAGTTCCAGTCAAACTCAGGAGCAGTGATTAACATTTTGGATAGTTAAGTGATATGAGCTTGTAATGGAAAAAAAAACTTGGAAACAACACACAGCATTGCTAATTTGTTCTGTTCTACCAAGGTATTGCTTTTTCCTAATTAAAAATAATAGGCATAAAAATTGCAACAGTGGACTACATGTAAAACCCATATTAATTGAAATTAAGTGGAAAATTGAACAAGCATATTACATTGCAATACACAAAACTAGTTTTAACCAATTATTCATCCTCAAAATTAACAGTTCGCAAACCATGCAGTTAATTATAGTAGCCATTAGAATGAATCAGATTTGCATCAGCAATAGTATTTATTATGAAACAATATTTCAACTGCTTTATTGCGTATGATTGTTTAAAAATGTAATAGCTTAATTCTTCCAGGAACACTCTCCACTGGGCTTTGTGCTTCAATTTTATGGAATTATTATTCTGACTTTCTTTAAATATTGAACCTCATTCAGTTCACCTGGTGATTTGTAATGAGGCTGCTTAGCTCTTCATAGAAGCTGCTGACAATTGTCAAAGGAGTTTTGAGGGTATTAGGTGGAGTGAGAATTTTAATATACTTCCTGCAGCAGGAGAACACGTTTCCCTGAGATGTTAACTGCCTGACTTTGCCATACAGGAGCAAATCCAACCTGCAAGTCTGACTGTTGGTTTGCAGTACCTCAAGCCTCTGTAGTTAAGGGGAACATCTCAAAAACTGAGACTAAAAAAATTTTTACTCTTTAGTATACTGAAATACAGTCATAAAAAATGCCAGTCTTAAAAAAATAGTTAAGTCTGAAAGTGATTTTCAACCCATTTCACAAAGTACTTTGACACTCAGACTTGAAGCATATAAGTAACTCTATTTGCCTCAGTGATCCTGTGAGTGGTTTTAAGGGAAGGCCGAGTATACAAGCTAAAAGGCAAAAAAAATAAAAATATTTGAAATCTATATCTGCAACAACTATGATTTAGGTAGCCTTAAATGCATTGTTCACTTCAGTGTTAGTGCCTATTGTTCTTGCTGGAACTCGAACACATATTCTTAAATTCATCTATGAGTGCTGTCTTCAGTCAAGAATGTTTCCTGACACAGGGTCATCATGAAATGGAGAAGCGGCACAGATAAATTTAATGATGATGATGCCAATAATGTTCAATGGAATTGACTGTACAGATTAATCTCTTAATCAAGAATAATGAAAAAATCTAATAGGAGTTGGGGAGTTCCTACAGAATTACTGGGCAGAGAATAAATATCCACAGACTGTAATCCATATGCTTGTTTATAATATCCATAGTAGAACTCTTTTCTATTAGAGTAAAAAAACCCATATCTATAAAAGATCTGTTTTTCTTCATCTCGTACATTCCCATATAAGAAAAATTTGCAAAGAAGGAAATAAAAACGTCTTGCTTTCCTGTGGGCTGGGAAAAGCCAGCGTGATACCATTTAATGTTGGCATGTAGAGATAAGCAGGACATGTTCACACGAATGTTTTAGTTCAGTTCAAGTGTGGGCTCTCAAAGCCAATCTCCAAACTGTTCCTGCTCACTGTGCTTTGGTCTGGACTGGGTGCCACAGTTTCAGAGCAATGTATCAAATTTCTTTCAAAAGACAGTAAAACTGATAAAGTGCCCCAGGAAAGCACTTAATGCACCACAGCTGCAGACGGGTGTTCAAATCTTAGGACGAGGCTACAGCCAGTTTAGAGTAAACCTCCCCTGAGCTGTGGATCTGAGCGATCAGGTCTCCCCTCAGCCTCCTTTTCTCCAGACTAAACCCCCCCAGCTCCCTCAGCCGCTCCCCATCAGACTTGTGCTCCAGACCCTTCACCACCTTCGTTGCCCTTCTCTGGACAAGGGAATGTGGGGATATGGGGAGCTGGGCAGGGATGGCTTTGAAAGCAGCCTTGAACCCCGTGATTAACCATGCAGTGTCTGCCCAGCACTAAACTCTTTGTCCAAATTTGTTCTTTTCTGTTGTCACTTCTCCAAAACACAAACAGGTAGATGGTGGGAAAGAAACGTGTTCTTTCACGGAGGAAGAGATTCCAACTGGCAACGGTTCATTTCTTGGATCTATTTAAAAACAATTGGTGTACTTATGGGCATCGAGCCCAGAAAGCACTTAAGGACCCTCATAGCCCCAGTGCAACGTGAACCAGGTCTCGGCACGG